GTTGCTGATTCCTTAGGCAAATACCTTGGATCCATGCTATATCATGGTCAGGGGAGGAAGAGGAATTATGCTGGTGTCTTGGATAGGGTCAAAGTGAGGTTGTCTAAGTGAAAGAGTCAGCTTCTATCCTTTGCAGGGAGAGTGACCCTTGCTAACTCTGTCGTGAGCTCTATTCCAGTTTACCACATGCAACATGGGACCCTTCCAACCTCTATTTGCAATGAGATTGAGTAAATCCAGCGTGCGTTTATCTGGGGTGACTCTATGGAGAAGAAAAAAGTTCACATGATAGCCTGGGAAACGATGTGCAAGCCAAGGAACTCAGAAGGGCTGGGAATTCATAACTTGAAGATTCATAATGCTGCTTTTATGCACAAAATTGCTTGGAGGATGCTCAATAACAGTAACGCCCTGTGGGTTCAGGTTCTGAGAGGTAAATACAAGAGGAGTATGGACCTAAGAAGGCAAACCATAAGTTAAAGCTTATGACTCTTCTCTGTGGAAAGGAGTAGGTGGAGTGTGGGATGAGTTCCTTGGTAGTATGCAGTGGGATGTGGGTAATGGGAAGGACATCCGTTTCTGGCAAGATAACTAGACCTATCTCAAGAGACCCCTCATTGAGTGCTCCTTGGATGAATCAATGTTAATTAATACTGATACCAGGGTGGCTGATTTAAGAGACCATAGGACTGGAGAATGGAATATCGATCTTCTGCAATCTACGGTGCATGAAGAGGCTGTGAATTCTACTAATGCTATTCTCCCTCCTTCGGAGGAAAGGGGTCATGACTATCTAATTGGGGGGAACCTGGGGGCTCAGAAGAATGTGATTAAACTTGCTTATAACCATTTGATGAGGTTTGATACTCTGGAGATCGATCCAACATGGAACTTAATCTGGAAGTGGAGAGGCCCCTAAAGAATCTGCTGCTTTGTCTGGATGGTATACCATGGGCGGCTGCTGACGAAGGAACACACGGCCAAATGGAGAGGATCTCCATACTGTCATGGGTGTGTCACCAAATTAGAAAGCATATACCATGTTCTTCATGATTTCAGGAAGGCTGCCTCCATCTGGACCGAGTGTAATTTGAAAAGGAATAACCAGTAAAAATTATAGACAATAGAGAAAGGTAGAGGAATATCTTTTCTAATTGTATTGCCAATAATTATATCAGATGTGTACATTAGATGAGGTTTGTTCATATACTCTTAACTATCATTGTGTTACAATGAAATAAATGACATAATTAAACCTTTTAATTGCATATTGTTAAGGGTTTGTTTTTTCTATAATCAATGTAAATAACTTATTTACATTGAGACCAAAACGATATCATTTTGAGGCGAAAATCAATGTATTTTTGTAATTATAATTTATTTCAAGGTTATAATAGTCTTTTTCATTATAATTTTTTAATTTTTCAACCCAAAATGATGTCGTTTTGGAAGCCAATGTAGATAACTTATTTACATTCACTGTAGAAATATTAAAGCCTATTATTAATTCATAAGAGTTACATACATTGTTGTAAAAAAACTAGTGTAAAAAGGTAAAAATTTACGTTTTCATGTTTTTACTGAAGTGAGATACAATTTTCTTAGTAAAAACAGGTAAAAATGCAAGTTTCTACATTTTCCCCCAAACCAAAAAATTGAACCGAGTCTTATACCCAAAAAAAAAAAACAAATCGAGTCAACTTTTAACCCATGAATCGATTTTATTTTATTTATTTTAAAAAAGTAATTTTCATTTTCTCCAAATCAAAATGCACAGTATCTTTTTCTTGCTATTTGAAAAAAACTTGCGCAAGGGCACTGTTGCAGAGAAAGAAGAGGGTGAAAACATTGGTGAAAAGTTTGAGTACTAAGTTGAGGTGGATTTTGAATCAATCTATTACGTTTTATTATAAATGAACTTGTTATAGGATCAATAGAAAACGGCATTAAGGACATATAACTGGTGCAAGATGATGTGTTTGATTTGATGTTTTGGAAATTTATTCTTTTAATGTTTTGAAACTTGATTGTAGGAGTTGTTAAATTTTTTTGTATTTTTGGACTTATGTCTTATGTAGTTATGTGACTTATATTGTAGTGACTTAATTATGTGATATACACACACATATATTGATATTAAGGAGTAGAAAATTTATGTTTCGTGTTATTTTTATGATTTATGTTTCTATCATCTTCTTTCATTTTTTACGTAGAAACTTAATTTTGACAACGTTGGTTACATATACTGCGCATTATTTGTTAGGGGTTATGGACATTCATATAATGATATAATTGTATTATTTATAACACTTTTTTATTAATCTTTACGTAAGAATAATAACGTTATAAATTATGCATTTTTAATTTAATTTTTTATTATATTTAATAATTAATTTTTGGAAAAATAAATACAAAATTTAAATAAAATTTAAAAATATTAAAATATTAAAATTATAGAAAGATATAAGAGGAAATTTATAAAGAAGTAAGAGAATATGATTTGAAAGGTATTTTATTGATCTTTATATAAATAATATAAAAAGTATAGTTTTTTTAATTTATTAAAATTTGATGATATTTATTTTCTTTTTTTTTTATAAAAAGAAATATAAAAAATTAAATAAATTTAAATAATAAAAAATATTAAAAATAAAGAAAAATAGAAAATTTATAAGTTTGTAAAAGAACAATACTTAAAAGGTATTTCGGTATGATTTTTAATAATTTTTTATAAGATTAGTACTGTAATATATTATTTTTTAAATTTAATGAAAATGAATGATATTTAACTATTCTTTTTATAAAAATAAAAGTAAAAGAGAGATAAAATTTTGAAAGATTAAAATAATCAAAATCAAGAAATATATAAAGGAAAACTTCTCAGTAAGTAAAAGAATAATCCATATCAAGTATTTTACTAAACTTCGTTCAAGATTGATAAAGCAATAATGTATGAATTCTTTAATTTGTGAATAATTAATGATCTTTGATTTTTATTTTTTTGATTAAAATAAAAAATAAATAAAACTTTGAAATTTCAAGGCATTTAAAAATTAAAAAAATATATGAAAGAAACTCTATAAACAAGTAAAGAAGTTATACTTAAAAGAGTTTATTAATATGAAAAAAGATATGCATGATTAATTTATAAAAAATAATGATCTTTAGTCATTATTGTTTAGAAAAATAAATATAAAATCTGAATGATTAAAAATATAAAATATTTATAAGAGAAATTTATAAAAAAAGTAAATCAATATTACTTAAAAGGTATTTTATTAATCTTCATTCACAATTAATAATGTAATAAGGTATGCAATTTTAAATTACTAAAAGAGTATGATTTTTATTATGCTTTTTTTTTCATAAAAAAATATAATAAGAAAATATAATATAGGAAGAAGTGGGGATATATGGAAAAAGGAAGAGATACAGTAAAATAAATATATTTTACCTTTGGTTTAGGAATTAAATTATAATAAAAAAATGGAACAGGAGTATTATAATTTATACATATTTAAATAGTTCTAATAAAAAATTAATGATATTTAATAATTAATTTTTGGAAAAATAAATATAAAATTTAAATAAAATTTGTAAAGTTTAAAATATTAAAATTAATGAAAGATATAAGAGGAAATTTATAAATAAGTAAGAGAATATGATTTCAAAGGTATTTTATTAATCTTCACCTAAGATTAACAGTGCAATAAATTATAGTTTTTTTAATTTATTAAAATTTGATGATATTTATTTTCTTTTTTGTTATAAAAAGAAGGGTTCGCTTTTTCTACAGTCAATGTAGATAACTTATTTACAGTGAGCTCAAAATGACGTCGTTTTGAGACGAAAATTAAGATATTTTTGTAATTATAATTTATTTCAGGGTTATAATAGTCTTTTTCATTATAATTTTTTATTAAACGACGTCGTTTTGGAAGTGAATGTAAATAACTTATCTATATTCACTTTAGAAACATTAAAGCCTAAAAAGAAATATAAAAAAGTTCATAAACTTAAATAATAAAAATATTAAAAATCAAGAAAAAAAGAAAATTTTTAAGTTTGTAAAAGGTATTTCAGTAATTTGGATTTTTATTAATCTTTTTAAAAGATTAATACTGTCCTATAGTATGCATTTTTTAATTTAATACAAATTAATGACATTTAACTATTCTTTTCACAAAAATAAAAGTAAAAGAGAAATAAAATTTTGAAAGATTAAAAGAATCAAAATCAAGAAATATATAAAGGAAAACTTATCAATAAGTAAAAGAATAATCCATATCAAGTATTTCACTAAACTTCGTTCAAGAATGATAACGCAATAATGTATGGAATTTTTATAAAATGCAATAATCCATATCAAGTATTTTGAAATATGATCTTTAGCTATTATTGTTTAGAAAAATAAATATAAAATGTGAATGATTAAAAATATAAAATATTTATAAGAGGAATTTATAAATAAGTAAGTCAATATTACTTAAAAGGTATTTTATTAATCTTCATTCACAATAAATAATGTAATAAGGTATGCAATTTTAAATTACTAAAAGTTGATGATTTTTACCATGTTTTTTTTCATAAAAAAAATATAATAAGAAAATAAAATTTAGGAAGAAGTGGGGATATATGGAAAAAGAAAGAGAAATAGTAAAATAAATATATTTTACCTTTGGTTTAGGAATTAAATTATAATAATAAAAAAAAAACGGAACAGGAGTGAGTTTATAATTTATAGCTATTTAAATGGTTCTTTTAAATTAATTTGAGGCGCAAGAACAACACTACAGAGTGAGACAGTCTGGTTCGAAACACAAGCATGGCACTGTCCGTTAACACTGAACCGTGCGAATCAAAGTTATTGGGGTTTTAGGGTTTTAAAATCCTCTTTCATTTTCAGAATCACTCTACACAAACCACTATTTAAGAGAGAAAAAAAAAAAAGTGAAAGAGAAAGGTTATTTCGTTGTTCAGTTTAACAGAGATAATAAAATATGGCTACAGTGAATGCATTGAATCCTGAACCAGAAAATAGCTGCTGCGCTGAGGTATGCTTTCATTTCATTCTTTTTTGATTTGATTTGATTTCATTGTTCAGTTTTTGCAGTTATAATTAAACTCAGCATTTGTGTTTTGATTTTTGTTATCAGTTGAAGAAGAAGTGTTCAAAGCTTCAAGAGTCACGCAACGCTCTACGCCAAGCTGTGAAGCTCCTTGAACAGAGAATTAATGTCGTTGAAGCTCAGAATGTGAACCTCGATAAAGGTAATCGATCATGACATAGTATCTGACTTTCATATAAATTTGCCTAATTGCCTATGTTGTAAGGTACCAGTACGAGTGTGTGATATATGATACACAAATGCAATTAATTATTAAAAAAATAAGATATGGGTATGGCAATGTATACTGATTAAATATATTTATATATGTGAAAAAAAGGGAATCTGGTGCTATAAAGCTTCACTATGTGTGGGTCTATAGTTGGCTGCCTTAGTTTGCATTTGCAAGAAACTGATTACATGAATGGAACCATTGATCTCCGGATATGTAAAGAACCAATTCAACAAAAAACTTAAGCTGTTAGCTAAAGGTGTTTTTGTTATTTTATATTAGATTATTCCTTAACACACTTCCTCACGCCAAGAGCCTTATACGATTGCCCACAACAACAAGTGCCCTCTTTTTTTTTTTTTTTAAGGGTTTGAAACGTGAAAATTAAACTTTTTTTTTGGAAGAACGGGGTGGCAGGAATCAAACTGTAGATCCCTTGGATTTTAGACACTCTGATACCATGTAAAGAACCAATTTAACCCAAAAGCTTAAACTTTTAGATGAAGACACTTTAATTCTTTTATATTATATCATTCCTTAAGAAGGTCACATGGCGATAACATCAACCGTTATGTCAAGGTTTCCTTCGTGTTTGTATATTATATGATTACCACACCCTGAGTGCCAACCGTACTCTAGTTTGTTTGTGGAGGATGAAAGTGTGCTGTTTTGTATGATAATTTTGAGTTGGGCATGATTGCAAGAGTGAAAATATTCCCTGAGGGAGATAATAGGTGAGAACAGGACTTGAATCCATATCTCGTACCTTTTCTAATAGCAATATTCTGAGGCTGCAGAAATCCACTAAAAAAAAGGGATACGCTGAAAGTGTGAATTGAATACACTTCCAATTTTGGTGTATTTGTGCATCATAGAAAATTGCATATGGATGGTTGCTTCAATAGTTTGCTTCTGAGTAAGAATGGATGTATTTGAATCTCTCTGGTGCTTTTTTCATGGTGTGTTTTAGGTGAGAGAGGTATAATATGCTTGTTTTATTCAACCAAACTTTTGTAATGTATTCTCTGCAGCATATCGGGAAGAACAAATGCGGGTGAAAATTGAAGAAGAGGCAAAACTGAAAGAATCCAATGCTAGGGTTTGTTTAGAGAATGAAGTTTCTGCCTTAAAATCTGAGATCACTACATTGCAGCAGAAATGTGGGGCGGGTGCTCAGGAAGGAAATGGGGATGTGGAAGTTTTGCAAGCCTGTATATATGATAGGGAAACAGAAATCAATAGATTGAAGGAGCTTTTGAAGAAAGAAAAGATAAAAGCTGATTCTTGGAGGAAGTTTGCTGAGGATGAGAAAAAGAAGGCTGCTGAAGCTCGGAAGTTATTGGAAGTAGAGAAGAATAAATCTGTTGAGAAAGAGATGCAGCTTCCCAAAATTGAAGCAGAGAAAGCTGAGGAGTATAGGGTTCAGCAAGTTCAGTTGGGGGAAGAACTTACTGAAACAAAAATGAAGTTGGCATCTGAGGTGTCGAAGTTTAAAGAGGCAACCAAAAGGTTTGAAGCTGAAAACCTGAAGCTTTTAGTGGAAAAGAGAAATGCTGAGTCAGAGATGGAAAAAGCTCAGGAAAGGGTAGAGGTTGAAAAACAGAAGGCAGCTAGGGAGAAAAGGTGTGCAGATGCAGAGTTTGTCAAAGTAGAGGAGCAGAAGAAGCTTGCTGAATATAACTGGAAGAGGGCCATGGAAGCAAAATGCCTTGCTGATCAGATGTCTCAGAAGATAGAAGAGGATAAGCGAACAATTGAGGATTTGAAGCAGAAGATACATGAACTTTCAGTGGAAAAGAGAAATGCTGAGTCAGAGATGGAAAAAGCTCAGGAAAGGGTAGAGGTTGAAAAACAGAAGGCAGCTAGGGAGAAAAGGCGTGCAGATGCAGAGTTTGTCAAAGTACATGAACTTTCAGTGGAAAAGAGAAATGCTGAGTCAGAGATGGAAAAAGCTCAGGAAAGGGTTGAGGTTCAAAAACAGAAGGCAGCTAGGGAGAAAAGGCGTGCAGATGCAGAGTTTGTCAAAGTAGAGGAGCAGAAGAAGCTTGCTGAAGATAACTGGAAGAGGGCCATGGAAGCAAAATGCCTTGCTGATCAGATGTCTCAGAAGATAGAAGAGGATAAGCGAACAATTGAGGATTTGAAGCAGAAGATACATGAACTTTCATCTCTAAGAAAACCCAATGAAATTTCTGAAGTATCTCCTGATGTCAGTGTGAATGATGAAAGTACTAAAGTACAGCTTTTGGAAAACAGTCTTGAGAAGTTACGTGCAAAGCATGCAAGGAAAAAAATTGAGCTTAAGCATGCAAGGAAAACTTTTAAGGATGCAAAGAGAAATTTTGAATGCGAAGCAAGTCATCTTAGCATTTTACAGCATGAATTAAGCCATGCAAATAAAAAGTTTAAGTCTGAAGCAACTCATCGCAGCATTTTACAGCATGAATTAAGCCACTTAAAGCTTGATGTCATTCAAATAATCCATCACCTTGATATGCTGGATGCATCTTTTTCACCTGTCACTGGAAGTATACATGGCCTAACAAAGGTTGGTTTCCTTTCTGAACTATTTGCAGCAATATATGAATTTGGAGTAAGGTTTGTCTTTTTTTTATCACCATGGCACATATAGGTTCTCAAAAGATATTAACAATATACTTATGCTTTATTATTCAAACTACAAGTGACAACTGCAATGGCAGTGGTAAGAGAAAATCTTTTATTTCATGCGTGACAATTTTTCTCTTAAATCTAAAATTGAATTTAAAGTCACTTTAAATTGTTAATATATAAAATAGTAATTTTAGGGTAAAAATGCAAAGCATTTGATTGTCAGAATCGGAAGATAAATCCTTGTAAAATTGTGCTTTATAGTGGGAGTAGTATTTACAAGCAGCTGAAATGCTGAGTGCATTGGTCTTTGTTTACAAAATTGCTTGCCATTGTTAAACTTTAGTAAATCCTGGATTGAAGTATTTTGTGGTTTAGATTCTTTAGAAGCAGAACTAAAACTAATGTTGGTAATCGACTTTCTCTATTGGTTGAGACATGCAGATAAGGCTACGTACAAGGATTTCCTCCGCCCCACACTCGTTAGTCGGGTTTAATGGGGAGTGGTTTTTAATTTAACTGTACTGTTTGGTGTAGCGATGGGAAGCATTAGAACTTCAAAATGATTGCAGTATTTGTGTCTGACATGAATCATGTTTGACTATTATTGGATACCTTTGAATATTTTTAGCTAATCTTTCTAATATTTTATAAAATTTTGTACCAGTACAAGTGTGACACCATAATAACTAGATCAATGATATTATATTATTGTGTCTACAATGATTAATGCTAACTTATGAAGCATTGATGTCTTTATTCTAATTTATGATTTGTGTTTATATGTTAATGTTTTTTAAATTTTATGTGTTGTACTTGTATCTTAACTATGTTCTGTCCTATAATTTTAGAATTTTCCATATCCATGTCCTATGACTGTGTATGTGGTTCCTACTTGTAGACGAATGGTATTATATATCTGTAAGATGTCACGTGATGTAAGAGTCCATTTCTTCTAAGAGTCCTTAGCGCTAGAAGTGTGGGCATGCATAGACCCACTTTATTTTATACAACAACAACCAAAGCCTTATCTTTCTAGATGGGGTTGGCTACAACCTGCATGGATAAATTAATGCCATATATAAAACCAAAATTTCAGTAAAACCATTAAGTAGAAGGCCCTTTTTTATGGTTAACCTAATATGTTGTTAGGTCTTCTTATAGCGCTTTGGACTATATTCCATTTGATCCACTTATCCCACTTTACCTTGTGCATAAACTTAATTTAATTGTGAAGTATGAGAACATCTAGGATTGAACAGCTGGCCATTGGTCATAGAAGCTATTATTTGAAGCTTAGGAATGACTTTTAATATCTATAACAGTTACTAACATATTTTTTAGGCTATTTTTGAAATGATATATATTTATTTAGCTCCCTTTATTGTTCAACTTATTTCTAAGTGGTAATGGCTCTTAAGCTGTTTTCAAAATGATATATATTTTTTAGGCTATTTTCGAAATATATGTTTATTTAGCTCCCTTTATTGTTCAACTTATTTCAAAGTGGTAATGGCTCTTCAGCTGTGGTAAATATATATCTTTTAACTGTCTCGGATTCATTGGATATGGATGATCTATCTTAAAGAGAGAAGTAGTAGCACATTTGGTCTTAGCTTGGAATTTTTTAATTATTTTGAATATTTCTTTTAGTAGTTATGTACTTTTGTTTTCATGTATATCTTACCTGTACATATGTTTGCTGAATATTTCTCCGCTGGATGATTGGATTGCAGTCCCAGAATGTGCGAAACATGCAAAAGTCACAAGTTGAAAATGAACTTATGAAGCCTTGCAGCACAAGTACTGGTGCATGTGATCCCTTAAGGAAGATCATGCAGGATACTCCACTTCTTGCTCTATCTGGGGGAATGTATGCTGATCCCATGACAAGTATTGATTCTAAATCGGCGCCTTTAATAATAAAAGGCTTCAACAGAACATTAGAGAGTTCTGCAGTAAAGTCCAGTGAAGCATCTTTTTCTGATGCACAGTTGATGAGCTCACAGGAAACGGGTGCTTTACAAGTTACTGCATTGACAGAATTGGCTCAGGAGAACCCTAATGCAAGACCAAGCATGTCAAACCCATCTGACAGATCAGTTATCGAGCATGATAGGTTGAGGAGCAGAATTCTTGATACAGTTGAATGTATTGCAGATTTGTCTTCTGAGGGTAAGAAGTTAAACATGCAGGTAGAAGATAAGCTCTGTGATTTACGTGGTTTGTTGTATAGCAAAATGGACAAATCCATCGAAGGTGGAAGAGAGATGGTTACTAATGACAAGGACTATTTACAGGAAAAGAGTGACAGGGCCCACAAGAAGAGAAACAAATCTCATAGGGCAAAAGCAGATACTTCTGTGGATGGAAAAGAAGGAAGAGGAAAGATGAAATCTGGAGCCTGGGAGGATGCTAATGACTGCATACACACTCCCTGTCCTGCATCGTATACTCCAACTACTCAAACATGCAGGGAGAGGATATATGATGCCCCAGACATATTTGATGAAGTGGATGATGGCAATGTTATGCAGTTGTTGGACTTAGAAAATGCTGCTGATGAGGAGTACTATAAAAATGCAAGGGATGTTCCCCTATCACCATTTTTTCCTGAGATTGAAACATTTGATAGCGATAATCTAAAGCCTTTTCTAGAAGAAGCACTTCACGAAGACTTACTGAGTCAAAGGGAGCTGTTTACTTCAACTAGATGCGATGTCCTTGATGTTGAGATCAATTCCAATGAGCAAAATATTGATGCTTTTACAGTTCCTTCTAACACACATCTTAAGTCTGCACAGGCCAGAATATCTGATATAGAATTGCCAGACATGCATACTTCAGAAAATTTAACGGCTACGTTTCTGGAGGAGGCTGAAATTGGATCTTTACGCAATCAACTTCCTAATTTTTGTTTTGTCTTATCAGATACTGTGGACAATAGTAGCATATCTAGGAAATTTCATGCTACAAGAAATTGTATAGCACGGTGCAGTTTGGATACTCAAACAGAATGGGCAGTTGCTAGCATTCTGTCTGCAGTTGAGCTACAAGAAATGCCCTTACAAAAGTAAGATGCTGTTTGAGATAATAACCTATAGTATCATGCTTTTGAACACCCTTAGTAGTTTCTGTTATTCATATTAATTCTCTGCTTTTCTTGCTGTATATACCAAATCAGTTAACGATAAAGTTATTATGATGGCAAATGATGGTCTTTGTTTCTTCTAATTTCTTTCAGGGAGAAGCATTCTGTGCTGTTAACACTTCTGTTGTTCAACTTTAACTTGACTGCTGCAATGAAATTTGGGAAACTTTGCCATGGGAACTTAATCCTCTGCTTGAATTCTTATGCTCAACACATTCACAGAGGTTTGTTTATCTGTTTTATAATTGACTTACATGTTCTGTTTATTTAAAACAATGTTCTTCTAGAATGTAGATTAGAATTTTCAATATTGTGTCATACATAAGAGTATAATTTTAATCCATTGTGAGTGTAAAGTTTTTACACTACCATTCAAGCGTATGTTGACATATCAATAAAGAAGTTTGACTTTTTAGATAGTTGTTGTCATAGTCAAACTATTTTAATGACTTGTCACTACTTAATACATATTGAAAGCGAAAAGCTTTTATACTGATGGTGGATAAAATTAAATCCTATTATATTTTGTATATAAGAAGTACTGTTGCATTGAACTTATAACTTTTCTCTATTTTTTGGGCAGTTATGACTGATGCAGACACAAGAATCCTGTTTTTAGAAAAACTTTCTTTACAGGAGTTTCTTTACCTCATTGAAGATTTTCTTATAGTAGGAAAAGTTATATTTAAAAATATATTGCCTACTGAGACCTTGTCAGAGAATGATTTGAGAACCAATAATTTTCCGGATGGTGTAGACACATTGTTTTCTGAAGTAGCTTCAAGTGAGCAGTTGGTAGCGGCGAGTATTATATTAGCATCATTATGTGCTGCAACTGATCATGTTGGATTTATTTGCGATGCTTCATATAATATTCTTAGATTGTGCAGATGGGATTCCTTAACGGTGCTAACTATTCTTCACATTTTTGCTAATCTGGGTGGAGGAAGGTATTTTGACTCAGACAATTTCGGTTTAATGGTGACTGTCTTGAAATCTTTAGTTATGTTTCTTGAGGATGAGAGCATATCTGTTACTACTGCTTCTTGTCTTCCATCAATAAATCAGCTGCATACTGAATTGTGTACTGGCATTAAATGCCCCTTCTCAGAAGGTGCTGAATCCATTGATATTGTTACATTGTCGCTATTAGAAATGATCAAGAATTGTCTACGTCAACAAGCAGAACAATTGGATTCATCAAATTCCAGATTCTTGCCAGAGAATTATAATGCTGGACAGTGGTCTAATCAGGAAGTGGTTCAATGTGCCAGTAGCATGAATTGTGATGCGCCTTGCTGTTTGAAAAACCATGTTATTTGTCCTACTCAATCAGATGTTATCAATGTTACCTTGTGTCAACTTAGTGACATCCTCTCTTTGTTGGAGCTGGTTGCAAACAAAATGGTATTATTTTCATGTTTTGAAGTTTATATTGTCTTTTTTCCATAAACTTTTCTATTTTTAATGCTCTAATTTTCAATGATGACAGTGTAAGGTAGGAGTTTTATGCCCCCTCTGGCAAGACTTTAGGAATCAACTTTTTATAATTTAAGAATAGAAATCCTACAATATAAAATTGAACAGGAATTGTGTCCAAGAAACAATGTTAGTTTTAGTTTGTGTTATATCTTTTTCTCGAATAAGTGACTTTTGAAATATGGTTCTAAGTTACTTGTACTTGTTATCCTGAAATATGATATTTGCATTTTCAAATTGTCTTTTTCCCAAGTAAATCAAGGAAGATGACGGAAATATTTTTACTTATTGGACCTTTGTTATGATTGGAACATGCGGGGATAACACATGGATTCAATCACCTTGTAATAGGAGTGCTTTCTTGGTTTCTTGTGATGAGATCCACTGCTTTCTCTTTCATCATAAAACTAGTTAAGGGATGTCTTTACAACATTTAAGATTGTATCTATGGTTGAGCTTTCAAGTTTTTCTTTGAGGAATCTGGTGAGTGACCTGGAGGAGTCCTCATACATGGTGATGTGGTTTAATTGGAGTTGTTGACTAACTCATTTTCTTTCCCTCAGTGAATAACCTGAAACCCCTCTCCTTTCCTTCTTGTAGTCAGAGAAGGTGATGTTAAAATTCAGTTCATTGTGACTTAGTTTGAAGTTTTCAATGTTAGGTTGTGCTGCATTATAACTTATAATTTTTTCCTGCCAATAATATATAACGTTAAAGATGGTCATGGCACAACTATCCACCAAAATAAAAGTTGTACCATCCATCTTCATTTAATTGGTTATAATGAATGATAAATTTGGACACTTCCTTGGTTTATGTAGAATAATGATTTTGGATCCTAATGTGTGATTTTTTTTTTTTTAACTAATAATGTGGCTTATATGGATCTTTTGAAAGTTAAATATTCAAAGAGAATCTCAGAGGAAGGGGAGCTGGGTTGGTTATTCTTGGATTTCAGCTTTTGGATATGCTCTGACAGCCTCCTTAATAGTGAAAATCTTGTTGATTTCTCTTCTCTTTGTTTCCAATGATATCGGCTTTTTTTTTTCTTTTTTTTTACATAATTGGCAATTTTTGCTGTTGTCATATTTGTCCTGTGCAAGATCTTTATTAAGTTTATAATACTCATGTATAATGCAGAGCTGGCAGTGGACCAACGACAAACTTGTTCCTCAGCTGCTTAATATACTGGATTCATGTGTAGTTGAGAACTTTGCAGTTGCTATCATTGTTCTTCTTGGTCAGCTTGGAAGGTAAATCGATCTTTGTTTGATATTAGTGTTTTTTTTTTTTTGGTAAAGGATATTAGTGTTTTAACTCATGCATGCATTTGTACCTTCATACATAGTATGCATAGGCCCCTTGTTCTTGCACCGTAAGGAGGCGACTTCCCTTTGTAACAAACTTTCTGGCATAATTGGAAAGGTTGGGTGTGTCCCTCTACTCTGGAGCAATTTTTAATGGTTCGTAGAATTTTTTTGGTAAAAACAAGGAAAGCTCATAACTTCAAGCAGATTTCTTTGGCACCAATGTTGGTATGGGATAGAGTTATGTTCTCGGCTTCTTTATGGTGTTTTTCTTATGGCTGTTTCGAAGTTGTTTCTACCTCTGATTCATTGTTGCATACTTAGTTTGGACAGAGACTGGAAAGCCTTAGCTAGATAATTGGGCCCCCTTTCTTTTTATTTTTGGATTTTTTTGCTGTATTTAGTATTTTGGTTTAGGAGGATTTCTCTTTCTTGCATTGGCTGTGTTACTACTGGTTTGGTCAATGGAGGACAGCCTGACAGCTGGAAAGTCTATTGTTACAACTGATATCTGGAATGGACGTTCTAGGAGAAAGTTGAAACCGTTAGAAGTTAGTTAGGTCCTTTGCTAGTTGGTAGTGTAATGATTAGAAAAGGAGGGCACTGAACCTCTATTAATGGGGGTGGGTATTCTTTTGTAGGGGATTTTGGCTATTATTGAGTTAGGACCTAGTTTCATTTCAGTTGAAGGGGCATTCCCTTGGAGAACATAGGCTATTTTATTCTTGCTAATATCAATAAAGATCTCTTCATTCATATCTCTGTCAATTCTCTCTTTTCACCATTTCTGAATTAAGGGGCGAATCAGGTTGTGCTCCTCTCTTCTTCTTCTTTTTTATTTGAAAGTTTTATTGCATGTTTAGCCTGTATTCGAGAGGATGTGGAAAAATAGATCAAACGAAAGATAGTCTAGTTAAAAGGGGTGGTGGAACATCGAGGAAACTTTAAGAGAAACCACTAAAAAAGACCTCACTATCAAATTAAGATGTTAAATGTTTGTGACAGTTCTACTAATGGCCATGTGAGCTTTGACTTAAGCATTTAACATATTTGAATTTTTGAATTGTAAATGATACTTGCACATAAGGTGCAAGAGACATAACTTAGATTGATAAAGGTGTGCCATTGATGGTGAATAAGAAAAAAGAAAAGAAATAAAAGTAGACAGATGGTGATGATGAGAGTTATTTGAGAAAAAATTACTTCTAGTAACATTACTTTGTTTGAATACTGCGTTGCGTGAAAATAAAATTGAAAGACAATGATGAATAGGAAACAGAATAAGTTGAAATTAAAATTTGTCAACTTGCCTTAATTCTGTTGTAAAGCTTTGACCAGTCAATGCCAGAGTTGTGTCTATAAAAAATTTAGTTTGATCCAGCATTCGTAGCAATGCTGATAGTTGGGTATGGATCTTGATCTGTTCAATTTTTCAGATATACTGAACAAAAGTAGTTGTTTCTTGTCTGATATAAATATTTATTTTTGATGTACTGGGGAGTAGCTTGAGTATAAGGCTTTTTGTAGGAGATATGATATAAGATAAAATACATTTTCTCTTGCTGGCTGGTTATTTGGACTAATGTCCTTTATGGAGATAGAATTGATGGAGTCGAACAAAGAAAAAAATGGGTTCTATATCAGGGTGTTGAGCAGGATCTATGAACATTATTAAGGTGTAAGGGAAAATTCAATGGAAGATTAGGTATGGGTTTGAGGAATTAAGGTTAGTTATGTTATATATTCGGCTGTAAACAGGAACAGGATGAAAGGAGGACATATTAATAGGTCTGAGATGGAATAGCATCACAAAATAAAAATAAGCAGAGCTTTGAAACTGCTCAAATACTTATTAATTCTATTTCCGATTGTTTCTTTTACCAAAATAAAAATAAAATGCTTTCATATTGTTGATTAAACATCAATTTATATTTGAATCTCAAATTTGAGAAGTAGATATCAATTATGCATATTTGATGGCATCTTTTCTTGGAAGCTTTTATAAGGAAATTTGCTGTTACATTAACCTTTTAGCTGCTGTTTCTTGTCTTCTTGCGTGATCCACGTATATGTGGACAAGACAGGTGTTTTCCCATCTGTTTTTTATTTTTACTTTTTTATTTATTGTTAATAGTGTGTTCAATGTTATACTTATCAGGCTTGGAGTTGATATTGGTGGATATGAAGATGGAGGAGTTCAGAACTTAAGATGTAATTTGTTCTCTTATTTATGTCGCAATTCTTCCGTGAAAGCAAGCCCTTCTTCTCTTCAAATTGCTGCTGCCACTGCTCTGTTTGGTCTTCTTCCTCTTGATTTTGAAACACTTTTGCAGACAAAATCTAGTCTTCCGGCTTATTCTAGTAAATCTGTTTCTGACGATGCTGGAAATTTAAGGAAGTGGTTTTCTGGGCTAGGTAGAGATCAGCAGGACTTGCTATATGGCATTTTAAGAAGCACCAATGTTTCTTAAGTAAAATGTCTCATTGATTTTTCTCATTGAAAAGCTTTATAGATTCTGGGAAGTTAGGTGGCATTAGTTAGATTTCACTTAGTTGAGAGCTTTCAGATATGGGCTGCTGTTGCAATTTGAAATTTTGTACCCTATCTTTTGGGGTAAATTATTAGTTTCGAGAAAGGATACACTCGCGTGACATGAGGTCATTGTGCGAGGATTTCAACCGTCAGATATACAAATTAATAATGATGAGAGAGTGTATTTAGATGAACTCATGTCACTTGAGAGGATGCATTCTCATTATTTTCATATTTATTGGTTACTAAATTTGTTTGATCTATGAATATTTTTATATAAATAATCAATTTAATATTCGAAAAAGGCGTGAATATCATTTGAATTGTTCAGTTCTACTTTTTTGTTATGTATTCAGTTTAATTTGTTAGATGATCATTACTTGCTATGTGGCGTCATTCCTATGTAGTTTTGGTATTTGCGTGCAAAATTTTTCCTTTTTTAATAAATATGGGTCCACCACTAGTTGAGTTACAACATGAGAATATTCTCATGCAACATGAGACAATCAAATCTCATGTTATATTGCATCAATATATTTCTTGCATCCCTGTGGTCTACTATTTTCATCCGCAGCCAAGTCATATTATACCTCATTTGCAAAATAATAATAATAATAAAAATGCATTCTTTTGTGTAGAAAACTGTTAGAAACTGAATCAAAACACCCTTAATTGGGATCTTCTATATTAGTATATTTATTATTCCTCGATTAACGGTAATATCTGAATAATTGAAAATGATTGAACTGTAAAAGATACTTCAGGGTATTCGATAGACTCTGTACGCTCCCTCACTATCTTCTGCTTAAATTTTCGTGCCTGTATCTTCTCCGTCTTACTTTTTTATAGTCATACAGGTAAACTTTTCCTCCGGATTCTCCTTGATTACCTTAGGAAAAATAGGTTACACAAATCACTTAATTACCCCTTGATTGGCTTTCTTGCAATTTGTTATATTAGTCATTCAGTTATCCTTGATTTCCTCTGCGTTTTCTAATATAAACCTTAGTAACAGGTGGTTTCCTAAAAAACCCTACATATTCTGAACTTTTGGAAACTTGGAAGCATATTGCATTTTCTTTTTTTCTTTTATATCTCTATTTGTACCATTAATGACTGTCTTGTGCACCAAATTTGAGTTTGAAGACTTTAGAACTCATTTTTATTCATTTAAAATATCAGCCATAGGTCTGGCTGTTCATATGTGAACCCAGAACATTGTATTTTTTTTTTTTAAAAAAAATCTTTAGCTTTCTTGCATGAAAACTCCCGACGCTTTGTTAATTGGTTTGTGAACATATTAGTATTAGTTCGTGGCTTCTTTTATAGAATTTTTATGAATAAAAGATCCAGCATCCTCTGTAAATCTAAGCTTGGTACTACTGATGTTCTTGCTTGTATGTGTTCAATTTGCAAAGAAAGTCCAACCTTATAGATGGATTTTTTGGCTTGCACGCATGACTCGAAGTTGTTCCATGGTATGTTTGAATTTCTTCCTTGAATGGGAAACAATTTTGTCTGGTGGTGCTTTTAAGTCGTAAGAAGTGAATGGATGGAGTGATGATTCTGGTGGCTCCATATGGTGTACCTGATTGGGTAATTTAACGTTTATTTTTCTTTGGTATGTGCTCATTTTGGTGTTTCTTACTGCAAGGGATTGAATAACTAGTTCGTCCATTGCACAAGCTTTTTAACTCTAGACACCAAACAATTGTATAAAAAATGAGAAAACAATTTACAGTAAAAAAAAAGTTCATTATTCGAGAGTTTATTTTAGCACCGTTTCTCAGCAATCATATACAAGTCCCTCGTCATTGCTTAAGAAGATGGACAGATGGTGAATGTTTTGTAAGGGAAACATGACTATATTGCTTAGTTTATTTGTGCTTAAAATATGCTTTCCGTGTGTCACACTTAACTTGAGTATTGTATTTAAGAGAGGTGGATCCTTATAAAAAGACCTTTACTAGTTACAAAGCTTTTGCTAGTGAAACAACCCTTATCACCTATATAATTTTCTGACACACACAATAACAAAAGATAATAATGATTAAGCACTTCATCAGCGTTTTACAACATTAAAATGACCAAAAACAATCCAAAATGTATCCTTTATTCGTCTAAATTAGCTAATCAACACTATAGCAAATTTATAGATACCAGCCAATAACTCTAGCAATACAGTGTCTTATTCCCAGTTCTTGGATTTCTTGTCTTTTAACTTCATAGTTGAGACTGGAAGTGGTGGGATGCTCTGTTCATGCCTGAACACGTTTTCAGGATCCACTTTAGTCTTTATTTTTACCAACCTGTTGAAGTTATCCTTGAAATACATATTACCCCAAGCAGTTGCCTGTAGGTAGCTTGTACTATTCTTCTTGTTCATTCCCAAATCAAGGTCTCTGTAGTTCACATATGCTTCCCTTGGGAACTTAGATACATAAGGAGTCATATAATTGTAAAGCTTCCTAATCCAGTCTATATGCTTTGAGGCATTCTTATCTCCATCTTGCCAAAGAGATAGGTACTGGATTTTGTATAGTGTTCCATTTCTGTGAGGGAAAGGGATATCAGATTCTGAAAATTTGTTCATCATTCCACCATATGGGTTCCAAATCATCAAGGGACTATCTTCTTCCAGCAATCTTTGCCATAACCCCAGAAGCCCAGCTTCTGGTAATGGTTCTCTTACAAAATCTGATTTGGCTTTGAAGTAGTTCTTGAATGTTGATTTTCCTTCAAGTAGAACTTCAGGGGGTGTATCATTTGGATAGCCAGCAATATAGAGCACAGATTTGATCCAGCTAGTTTCCAAGCAATCTTTTCTAGTCAAACCCAATTCAGGAAAGCTTTCTTTCATAACTTGGAGGAGTCTATCAGCCCCACCAAGGAAGAGAGCATTGTAAGAAGTTGTGATAGTTCTCTCAGTTTTGTTTCCAACAGTAGCTGGTTGAATGATGACCCTAATGAAGAGATCCTCATCAATATTGGGTGCCACTTCCTGCCATCTATGAACAATCTTGGTTGCATCTTGTTCTAGGCTCTTTGTAACTGTGAACACTGTCACAGTTTCTGGCACAGGAACCAACTTTATCTTCCACCAAAGAAGGATGCCAAAGCTTCCTCCTCCACCTCCTCTAATTGCCCAAAATAGGTCTTCCCCCATGGCTGTCCTATCAAGGACTGTGCCATTAGCATCAACAATTTGTGCATCTAGGACATTGTCAGCTCCAAGGCCATACTTTCTCATCATGGATCCATATGCACCTCCTGTAATGTGCCCACCCACACCTAAGCTGGAACATAGGCCAGCAGGGAAACCATGAACTGCACTTTTCTCATATATTCTGTAATAGACTTCACCAATAGTGGCACCTGCTTGAATCCAAGCACTATTGTCTTTTATATCAACGTTGATGGCACGAAGCTTAGACAAATCAATGATTATGAAAGGGGTTTCTATTTCAGAAACATATGAGAGTCCTTCATAGTCATGGCCACCACTTCGTACTCTCATATGGATACCAAGTTTCTTTGAGCAAATCACAGCTACTTGGACATGGGAATCAGTCAAGGGTGTGAATATAAAATCAGGTTTTGGTGCTGAAGGCACCAAATACCTTAGGTTCTGTGCAGAGAAATCAAGGATGTTGGTAAATGAAGCATTATTTGGAGTGTAAATTGATGCATAAAATGGAGCTGCCTTGTCTGAATAGAAACTGAGACATTGGACAAAACTTTCAACTGAAGCTGAAGCTGTCAATGAAACTGATAACAGGAGGATTAAAATTGCCAAGTGTGAACTTGGTGACACCATGATTTTGTGTTCTCAGGTCAGGGTTTCTATATTTTTGTGCTGAAGGAGGCTACCACAAATGTTATATATATACATGACTATGAACTATGGTGCTACTATGATACAACAGTTTACGTATGATTGACCTAAGACAAACGTCATACGGATGAAGAGTGTTGGCATTATCTTCAGGCCAATGTTCTAATCTTAATTATTACAGCGTGGAACATGCACTTTCTGATCTTACTTTGATTCCAAGAACATTGACCATCTTTCACATTTATCACAATATGTTCATCCCTGATAAATATAGTGGTATAAGCAAAGCAACAGTCTTCAATGGCCCCACCAGTTTATAAATATTTTTGAAGAATAACAGATAAGCTTGTCCTTATTCTTGCAGCGTCATATGATCATGCAACTACTAAAGGAAATTCTGCATAATTTGTTAAGATTCTCTTTCTTTCATAATATTCAATTCATTTCATGGCTTTGTAGTGGGGATAATTGGTAGGTCCACAACATCACTCATTAATTGGTGCATTTATTACTTCACCAGATATTGTTACGCGAAGTTTAATGGCACATCTTAGTTTTGTCGTACGTGTTTGCTAAGCGTGGCTAAGTTGTGTAGAAATCATAGTTTAAGTTGTAATCTTCGTAGTATACACAATTTTTTAGGTGTAGTGTGACTTCTAAATGTATAGAAAACTTAAAAAGAAAAGAAGAACGTTATGGTCATATATTTTTTGTTTATTATTTTGAGGACATTGGAGAGCTAGGTAACAACTTTAATTTGCTGGGGAAAAAAAGTGAGAAGAATTTCAATTCGGGTTGCAAGAATGTTTTTCAGTATAATACATTTCTTAATTTGTTGGAATAGCAGTTTTTTTTCTTTTTAACTTTTTTGGGTATGTTTGTTAATACAAATAACTATTGTAGCCAAATGATATAATCTTCCCAAGGTGTAGAAAGTCTTTAATTTGAACTCGATAAATTTTATTGATGAAACTTTTTTTTTTCAAAGTCAATAGTCAATATACATTCTTTTCTTTTTTTATAAAAACAAACGGATGCTTAAAGAGAGGAGAACTGACCAAAATGAAACAAAGTAAGAAACCGAACATCTTTCTTTACGCTTGGAGATAGATACAGAGGATTCCGTGTAGTACGAGCAACAAACTAATTTGTGCATAATAATTTACTAATTTGTTTTGGTACATAACAAATTAATAATTTACTATTTTTTTTTAAAAGTGTAGCATGAAGATTTTAATTTTTCTGCAAGGACCTATCAAGGATGACTCAAATAATAAATAAGAGTTCAGGGATTGAAGAGCTTATGTAATACTAGAGATTTGAACCAGCAAAAATGACATCCCAAGTTATCCGAAAGAGAATTAAGAAATATGTCAAGATTAAAAAATCTAATTCCACAAAATATAGGAAGAGTTGAACCTTATGAGGATATATGGGGACGATTCACCTCAAAGAGATAATTAAGATTGATATACCAAAAAAAAATTACAAATAAATTAAGGCTAGTTAATTTGGTTTGTTCAGCATTAACTAAAGGGAGTTCAAAGTCTTAGGAAGTCATACCCACTATAAGGTATAAGCCATAGTTGTATATGAATTTTTATTTTATTTTTTTGAATTATAACACCATCTTTAATTAGTTTTGAGATGTGTTTGAAGTCATAGCCACTAGAAGGCACTTTGAAGAGTGGATGACTATTAATGTGCCATTTAACCAAGTAGTGGATTATGTTCCAATAGGAATACAACAAGCCTGCCTATGGAGACTAACATCATATTGCATAAAAAAAAAGTGAAGTTTGATTGAAAATGCGATTAATTAGAAGAATGTGAAGTCGAGTTGGTGTACATTTTAAGATCTAAATAATAATTATACATAAATTCTTCAAAAATTTTGTGGGTAACAAGTTTTATTCTATAATTTTTTTAAAATCTTTTTATTGCAGGTGTCCTCAATCACTCTTACCCTAGATATAAAATGTGATTAGGCCAAAATGATAAGTATATCTATTATTGATAAATGGAAAGTCTTCTTTTAATGATAATACGTTGAACACTACCGTGAAATCTAGAACACATTTTTCTGAGATATTTCTTCTAATTCAAGCGAGATATTAGCCACAAGCAAGCCATCAAAGATAAGGACGAAAACTTAGTGCTTGTATTTTTCTTAAAAATTAAGTATAGTGTTAGCTTTGTATCGATATATTTTCTGTCTAGGCAAAACTTAAGTTAAAAACTTACATTGTGAATATTATCTATAATTTTTCCTTTTTTATGGGGGTACCTCATTAGCTGTAACATTTTTATTTAGTGTCTAAAGTACAATCCAATAAATGAGGTTACGAGTTTGATTCTGAAGGAAAAAAACGTGGTAAAATTGATGCTGGGGGTTGCTCTAACTGTATTTACCCGGTTTGAATTGCAAAATTTTGAAAGGTGTTGATATAACTTTTGCATTAATTTAATTTTTTTTGTTTACATTGAAATTTAGGATTAATTTGATCATATAAAATACATCATGCTGAGTAAAGTGGGTCAACCACTACAAATTTTAAAAAACTTTTTTTTAAACATAACGTACGGCACCATTTTTTTTTTAAACATAACGGCCACAAGATAAAATAAAATTATGTTAATAGTGTGTGCAAAAGTAAAACAAACATAGGCAATTGTTTAACAATTCCTAACTCCCATAAGGACTTTTTAGGTTGTCTTACTTGAAGTAATCGTGGTCACAAAAGGGAACTCTTGCATGATATATACATTATTAAATAGAAAAGCTAGCATATTGCATGCTTCGGGAATTCAATTGGTTTTCTCTTCCACTAGGGCTGACGATACCGATACGAGATATGATACGATATTTTGATACGTTAATTTTAAATAATATTATATTTTAATATGTTAGGATATGTTTTGATATTAAATAATATTTTTAATTAATATAGGGTATATTATATTTAATATTCGATAATTTAACAAAAAAATGAAGCTATACTTATAATATCCATTAATTTTGCAAGAAACATAAGATATCACAAATATTTATATTAAATTTAATAAAATGATAATCGTAATCCAACAAATTTAATTGTTGGAATTAAAAAATGCAACGTAACGCGACCATTGAATCCTTTTTTAAGTCTCTGCATGCAACATTTGTTGGAGTGTAGGGAAATGTCAGAGTGTCATGAAGTGTTAAAAAATATCAAACACAATATATCAAATTTTTTAAAATGTCAGTACATGATAAGTGGGTGGCGTTTCAATCTTAGTATCATATTGGGTAGTTCAAGCTGTTTCTCTCTTCTTTTTTCCTATATAAACAGATGGTTTTTCATGTTTAAATTATCTAAAGAAAGGTAATACTTTGGCCTGTAATCAAGTTTTGGGCTTCAGTTGTTTGAGTAAAAAAATTTCACTCTTCCTTTATTTGTGAGCTTCTTTTTTGAGGTTTGGTTGGTGAATATACACGTTCGCAGTTAACAATAATTAAATTTTGGAAATTGTGGCCACCAGACTTTATTTTGTGATGGTGAAATAAATCTTCATGAACAATGTCATTTTATTCAATTCTTTCTACTTATTCAATTTTTAGCATTTATTTATAGGTTTTATTTCTTTTATGTCATATAAAAGAAATTTTGTCTCCCGCTCTCAATTTGATTTTTGTGCTTTTTTTTTTTTTTAAATAAAGTGGGTCTCACCATTTGTTGTGAGAGCAAGAAAGAAGATTTAACTTATGTGAATAAGAAAAATAAAACTCTTTATTTATTTAATTAATTTTTTTTATCATTTTGTATTATTCTCCTTTGACTCATTAATAGTTCTCTAATAAGTCTTATATAATTAAGAGTTGTATTTATTTTATTTTCCTACACACAAAAGAGAAGTAGATCCCATCTTTTTCTTTTCTCTTTTTTCTTACTTGTGCATCTCACTTATAATTTTGTTTCTAGAACATAAATAACTATTTTTCTATCACAAGAAGATAAATATTTCCCTTTATAAGCATAGTTTTCTAACAACCCATGTCATTGGCTAAGTGGAAGCAAATATCTCAATAATGGTATACATCAATGGCGGAATGAGATTGTTGCATGTGTCTGCAAATGCAGACACAAATATTTTGAGATTTTTTTTTTTTAAAAGGGTGAGTAATTTAGGTCAAGTAAAAAAAAAAAATTTAAGAAGATTGAAAAAAAAAAGTAAACATAAGCCTAACCATGGTAGTTAAAATCGGGATCTTGCCTAAAATCTGAAGGAGGATAAAAAATTGTGGATTCATAATAATTCGACAAGTATCAATGAAAGGTAACTTTCTATATTTATTTTATTTGTTATTGTAACAGCTTAGTTGACTCTTGATTATTATTTTTGTTTATGTTAAGTTAAAGTTTTTTTTTTTTTTTTCTTGTTTATATTTTTTTTAATAATTTAAAATTTTCTTAAAAAAAATCTTTAAGGACACTGTCCCCGAACCTTCACCTTAAATGTGCACACACAAAAAAAAATTCTGTGTCTGCCACTGTATACATGATGTAATGATTTTTAAACTCTTGCATAAGGTCCCGTTGAGGCGAAGGAGGAAGAGATGAGAAACGTATATCTCGACCTTGTTTAACTGAATAAACTGGTCAATTAACTAAAGCAAATATCCGTAATGTATGCCATTAATTTGGATGCATTCAACCAAAGAGTGTGGTTTGGCATTGTTGGGAATGGTATGGGGGAGCCCAAAACCCTTTGCAAAGGGTACATCTATCAATGGGCCAAATGACAAATCATAATAAGTGAGCCGACACCACATTTTAACTCAAAACCTTAAGGTTGTAAGTTTATGGGTCTTTTGCACTTATATGGTCATCAATTGGTCTAGGTCTAGCCAATGTGGTACTTCATTACAACTCATACTTGAATACTTCCAACATTTTTCCCTCAAGTATGAGACCCAACATCATGCTCCCCCTTAAGGGCAACTTCTGCGGAAGTCTTTGTTCTTTAAGTATTGGAGTCACACTAGCCTTCTGCGGAGGCCTTGAAACATCACCATCTCTAAATACCCAGCCC